AATAAAGAAGAATTCTCTAGATGAGACATTTAAAGATGGAAATTATTTTTCGTGTATATAACATATGTGGTAATCTTAATTAATGATTCTATAAAACTATGATTCTACTAAGTCTGCTAAAATAAAAAAAGAATCCTCCATAAGTGAGAATTCATACATCGACTGTCTAATTACTTACATAATCTTTGTCTACCAAACAACTATCAACGTAAATAAAGGAAACTGAGAATTGACTAAAACCAAAATAAACTAATAGCCTAATTTTTTGGAAACTATACATTTATGATTTTTTATTTTAAACCATATTATATAGATTTCCATTTATAATAGGTAATTAATTTTTTTGGTGAGAAATGTGTTCTCAAATAAATTAACCTTATTCATATTATATATATGTAGTAAATTAACCTTATTCATATTATAATTATAATTATTATTATTATTATTATTTATTATTATTATTATTATTATTATTATTATTATTATTATTATTATTATTATTATTATTATTATTATTATTATTATCATCTTCTTACATAGGACAAAGAAATTTAAAAGCATTTTATCTTTGCTAAAAGAAAAAAAAAAAAACTTTGCCAAGTCCCATATTTATCAGCATAACACCAATTCACACTTCAATGCACACAAATTACCATCCTTAAGATTTAAGCATGAAGCAGAGCATCTATACAGATGCATATGGCGGCCCGAAAAAAAAACTAATTTCTTAAGGCGCCCCATTCTAATATAAATAAGATTTTTTGAAAATTGCACGTTTACTCCCTAATCAAGATTCGTTTTTACTATGCGATCTCACATCTATATTGCGCTCACCGGATTTTTTGGAAAGTATCAAATTTAAGGGTAACAAATGCCCTAATTTAAGGGTAGCATTTAATGCTACCCGATTTTTTTGGAAAATGAAAAATAAAAAAAGTTACTAAATGTAAATAATTAATGTTTATTAAAATCTGACCAAGATTGGCCTATTATTTTTAAAAAATGGTAAATCTTATTATATATATATGTATATATATAGATTTTTATGACAAAATAGTCTATACATAATTTTAAAAATTTTAAAATTAATTATCCGGTTCGACAATTGACCCTGTGACCCGGCAGTTGAACTGGAGACCCGGAGACCTGCCCGGGTCGATTCCCTGGGCGGGTTTAAAAACTATGATAGATATAGATAAGATAAAGATAACATATATTTGTTTTTTCTTGCAAAAGTAAACCGATTTAATAATAATGACTTGATAATCGAAGGTTGAATAGATTATTATCTTCTTTTTTTTAGATAGATGGGTCATTGCCTTGAAAAGCCCATGTATGATATGATGATAACCTTTATTTTTACGCAATACAGGAACATGGCTAAAATTGGGATTACGATAAAACCAAGTTTGTACAGGAGACTGTTAGTCCTTTCTTTTTCTCAAAATAAGGGGAAATTAAATTATTAGGCAATATTTTAGGCTGAAACCCTAAAAACAAATTATCCGATGACCGCCTTTCGCTGTTGCCTCCTCCTTTTCTCAATTAATTCCTTCATATGTTGGTTTTTTCATCAATTAATCAAACAATTTATCGTTCTTTGCGCATAGATTTCTCACTGCCTGAATAATTTAATTTCCCCTTTTCAATTTGGTGTAGATTTTATTGTTCTTCTCTTTAGAAAGATGAACGATGTCTCGCGGCCTACAGCCGATGTCGCCGCCGCCGCCGCCGCCGGCGGTGGTGTAAGTAGACCCCAGTCGCAACGGCGGAGCCTTACGTCTGTTTGGGCCTCCGTCGTCTGTAGAGATTCCGAGCAGAACTCGTCTCTAACTGCCGACGGGATCCTGGGTCTTCTTCGTCTCTACGCCGGTGGAACAGTCTCCGGAGAACCCTGTGATTGAGAGTTCGGGCTCGGAAGCCCAGCCCGAGACCCCTGATGCTAACGGCGACATCAATGTTGATCAACAGAGGAGGCCTGCTTAGAACAGGCTGTTAACGGCGTCGTTGAACCCTGTTGTCCGATTTTCTGTAAAGATAATAACAATTAACAAATACCACAATTTAAGGTCAGCATTTATTGCTGCCGATTTAAAATAAAAGAAGTTGCCATAAGTAGAAAGCATTTAATGAAGAAAGAGGTTTGACCAAAAATTTAGTTGCCATTTTTGAAAAATGGTAAATCTGTTTATATATATATAGATACTCACTAAATAATATTCATAAATTAAAAATATGAAATCTATATATATAAACAGATTTATCATTTTTTAAGAATAGCAAGTCAACTTTTAGATCAATT